AGAAAGATACACTGTTTCACTTTAATTATATTATTTTAAAATTATAGAACACAAGATAATAAACTAGAAAAAGAAAACGGAATACGACATAACCTTAAAAGAGAAAAAAAAATATATATATATATATATATATATACATGAGATGAAATTGGAAAATGTCAAGATTTACATGATCGTTAGGTGTATATTTGAAATATATTAATGTATAAAAATAAACCCAAATATTTGGTCTTTCACTGATCTATTTGACATTTGTTAACAAGCTAACCATGTAAATCTTGGCATTTTTCACACAATTTAGGTTTTTATTATATATTATATATATATATATATATACAAGTTAACTCCGCATCAAAGATATACACCGATAAGAATTCCACTGAGGTCAAGTTTGTTTACCCCGCGATGCATGTGTATTTATAGCTTTCCTGCTGGGAAGCCGCGTTCGGCGGTGCAATGGCATCGTTAAGACCGCCCTAATACACACACACACACAAACACATAATTTTTAAACTCACATACACACAACCGATAAGATAAATTTCTTATATACATATATGGAATTTTTTACAATTTAACTTCAATTTCTGTCTTCTTCTCTCTTCTATATTCTCTGTTCCATTAAACTCTCTCCCCTCCCCCACCAATAAAAAAAAGACCAATGAAAACTATTCAAATTTATGAAAAATAACTTATTAGAAAAAAAAGTAACTAGAAAATGAATTTAATCAGACTTGAGTTATTAATTATATATATATAAGGTTCTTTGTAGAATAAGTAAAAAAAAAAAAAAAAAGAGAAAAAGAAACAAAAATCTTGACATATAATAAATATTAAGAACAATAGTAATAATAATAACAACAATAAATAACCGAAAAAGAAAATTTAAAATAGTATTATTATTTACTTGCGCAATATGTCGGATCGAGTTACACTTTTAATATGTTTAAGAAAACGTTTCCCAAGAGTTTAGGTTCCTTCTAATCTGAATTTTGAGTGGTAAAAGTCAAAGGGCAGAGAGTTTTGATGGTAGGTGAAGATAGATGTGTAGAAACATAAGAAGAGAAGGGGATGACGGGAAAGGAAGAAGAGGGTTGAGGAGAAAGAAGAGAGAAATGCTAAACTCTACAATTATTATCATAATAATAATAATAATAATAATAATAATAATAATCATCATCATTATAATTATAATAACCATCAAACGTTTATTCTATGTATTATTATTCTAATATTTCTGATCACACATTCAGAAAGGACAAAACTTAAAATTCAAATGCTTTTTTTTCCTGTTTTTTCTTTTTGGGTTCTTACCGTGTGATCGTTATTATTAAGATTATTATTATTATTATTATTAATATAAATTTTTTCTTATGTTTATTATCCTGTAAGTTTACTTTTCACCCCTCTTTCGTTTAAACACTACCCTCTCCCCCACTCTCCATTCGGTGGCGACTCTTTTGTAATACGGCCATTGAGCCCGAAACGAGACAAACAGAGAGAGAGAGAATTCTCTTGTCAGTGTTAACACTCCTGCTGTCAGTTTGTCGTTTAGTTCGTTCTCAAATCTAATATATATTTGTATTTATATATATATGTATATAT